AAATGTCCAAGCTGTCAATGGCAGAATCTGTTTTAGCAACATCCTCTTCACCCTCCTTTTCTACTCCAATGTCTGCTGCTAATCAATTTATTGAGGTGTTATTGGCATATTTCACTTCAAATTCAAATTTAATTCCAAGTTTTGTTATAAGCCCACCACCTGACTTTGATGCTAATTTAGTAATCGATGCGCAAGGCCACACTTCGCTTCATTGGGCTGCTGCTATGGCTAATATTGACATGGTAGCTTTGCTAATTAAAGCAGGTGCTGATACTGAATGTGTTAATATTATTGGTGAGACTGCACTCATGAGAAGTGTCATGTTTCCGTATAATTATCAAAACGGAAGCTTCAATGATATTGCACAACTTTTGGCAAGTAGCATTGGTAATATTGATTCTTGCGATCAGACGGTATTTCATCATATAGCACTTTTTGCAAATAATGATGATATGCAAGAAGGACCTGCAAAGTATTATTTAAAAACTTTAATTTCACATCTGAACCAAAGCCCTAATGAACGGTACCGAAAAAGTATTTTAAATAGACAGAATACCGATGGAGACACAGCTATCAACATTTTAGCAAAAGCAAAAAACAGAGAGTTTGTTAAATTACTTTTCTGTGCGGGCGGGGATCTTTATATTTGTAATAAAGAGAACAAAAATGCTGAACATTATTTCTGTGAAATTGATACTAATTACTCACCAACGATAACATATCAACATAATTCCTATTCTCGTCAACAAACACCAATCAATCTACAAAGTTCATCGTCATCAAATATCTCCAATGGCACTTCTTTTGGACATGTAATCGAATCACCATTAATTACTGCAAACAATAAGGTTTATGCTGTTGCACCCACAATAGATTCTTTTGTTTCTATTGGTAAAAAAATTTTAGAAGATTATTGTTCTCCTTATATCAGTGAGCTCGAGAGTAAAGATAATGAGCTTTTTTTATGCAATAATAAATTAAAATCAATTGAAGACGAAATCAAGTCTGCCAATCTTAAAGTTAAAGAAATGAAAGAAATCAATAAAAAATTACCAGAAAAAAAAGAACGTGTGCAAGGATTGATTAAGCTTATAAAAGAAAAGATCGAAAAACGTAATCAACAAAGACTGGATAGCTTGTTAACCGAAGAATTAAACAAGACTTCATCGTCACCAAAAAATAATGTTGAAATAAATGAAAGGTATAGTTTATTTAACCATTAAAAAATATATATTTTTTATATGAATGGATTATTGATTTGGGAAAAATCTAGACAAAAGGAAGAAGTTAAGAAGCAATTAGATGTAATAATTGAAGAAAGAAAGGAATTGACGGAAACATTAATAAGTATGAGATCAATTCCAGGAGAACCCACATTACCATATCGACACGCCTTCAATAAAATCTTGAAGGATCAAATTTTTGTAAGTTGCGTTATGATTTATATTTTTGTTTTTCTTTTTGAAAAAAAATTTAATGTCAAAATTCTAATAATTTTATTGTTACCATTATTGCCATTACCATTGTCATCATCATCATTATTATTAAAGACTGAGTAAACGTCTTTTGTTTACTCTTTTAAAATCTTATGATACAGCTAGCTGTTTTAAAAAAATTTAATAAAATCATTTAATATATCTATCTAACCATTCATTATAAATTATTGGATTTATTTATTTTTTCAATTGTTTTTTGTTCCTAATATTTTTTATAATATAATATTTTTTATTATATATTTATTTGTATAATAAATATTTGATAAATTATTAAATAAATATGATATAATGAATGTCTTTATATATAATTTGAATGAAATTAAATAAATAAAATATTACACTAAAATAGTGTATCTGTAGTAGTATCATGATTTTTTGATATAAACATACAAGCTGTTTATCTAGCTTTTTCTAGTAATAATAAAAAATTAACAGGTATGAAAATTTTTAAAAATTTTTTAGTGGATGATTTTTTTAATTCTTACCTCATTCTCATTTAGTTTTCAATTTCTCACTCCTCTTTTATCTTCTTCATCTTCCAGCACCACACCAAACACACATCCATCACAGCTAAAGGCTTTCTAAATGTAAAACAATATATATGTGTGTGTGTATATATATGACGCCTACACCAAATCTTTTAAAACCAAAGTCAAAGATAAGGAGGGTTTTTTATTTCAACTTGGCAGCAATAAAGCCATTCTCGGGAATAAAGTCAACAACACCATTTAACAAATCATCACTTTTTTCTATAATTTTGATTCTTTTGGAGACTGCCTCAATAAGTGTTTTTGAATCAACTCGAGTTAATGTTTTTTGATAACTTTCTGTGTTAACAAAGGTTGGCCAGTCACTTTAAAAAACAGCAGCAACAAAAAAAAAAAACAAATTAACAATTATAATATTACCTTTAATAATATTGAGTGATATTAATTATTATTATTTTTTTACCTTTTAATTGTCGATGATGTTTGACCATGACTTAATAATAAAAAGAATAAAAATTAGAATTGTCAAAAAAAAAAATTTTTTTTTTTAAGTCGTATATATTTATTACCTTGAACGACGACCAATTACTCGTTGTTTTTTATTATTATTGTTATCATCATCATTATCATTGCTGCTACCGTTATTATTACTGCTACTTTAAACAAACGTATATATATATATATATACACATATATATAATTGTTAATTTAGACGTCAAGTTTGCATTTTAAAATCCCCTTTTTTTTATTGTTACTGTTTGAGCTGGACGATACCTTGATTTTGCCTTCATTTTTATTGCATTGGAATTATTGGTGTTAGTTTCGTCAGGTTTATGTTTATCTTTTTCAGTCATTTTATTTTTTATTTTTAAAAGAATAATGAATGAGTGACTGTCTGTGTTCAATGGGTGTGGGATTATTAAGAATTTGTCAATCATGGCAATATTAGCAAGTATTTTGCTTTAAAAAGGAAAAGAAAGAAAATACTGTGCTATTATTGTCCTTGATTCGCAACCGGTTGTTACAGACAGACACATCCTCTTCTTATGCCAATAACTCTTCTATAATCATTATTAATTATTTTAGCCAAAAAACTCTTAATAATGATGCACCTGATGTCGACAACGAAGGACAATTTATTATTATTTAAATTATACTTGTTGGAAAGCCTAACCTTGTCCAACTTGCCCAAAGAATAATCAACTAATGCTAATAATAAATTAACATGCTTACAATTGATTTGTTATTATCAATATTAATGGTAAATATATAAATAACTATCATAATCAATAAAAAAATATGATTAAAACCTTGTTGTTAAATGATTCAACAATTAATGGCGACGGTGCGGAAAGTGATAACTTTAAAAATTACACACAAGTAGCATCCTCTATTACAACCATAACCTCAAAATCCCAGGTAAACTCCTTAGGGAAATTAATCAACACAATAGTCAAAGGAAACATAAATTTTTATACTAATGTTCAAGGCTCCAGCGAACGAACTAACTTCTAACTAAACTAATGGATGATGGGTATTTGATGCTTGGGTAGATGGGTTAATAGAACTATAGAACTAATGATAACGACAGTTTAACGTTTTACCAGAATGTATATTTCGACTATTTGTCACCAGATAATATTAGGTTTTATTTCCCGAGTGAGGAATGCAATCAATTTTTGGAACAGATGATTTTGCATAAATTCTTTCCGTTGACCGAAAGAAAATTTAATATACACGGCTAGTAAAGTAAAGAACTACCTATGAAATTTACCAAAAAGAAAGAAAAATAAAAGGGTATTAACAACACAAAACTATAACGAGCCCAGAAAAATAAAATAAAAAATTAGAAAAGAAATAAATCCTACTGCAGTTGAGGCAATGTGATTCTAAAAGGAAAAACATAAGGCAAAGCGTCATATAGAATTATTATTTGTTAAGTATCATAATGACAGCTACTGACTTTATTTATTAATATTAGAACCTGCTATTTATTTTACTATCAGTCGCAGGCAGTGTGTAAATTTCAGTGTGTAACTAATGCAGATTTCTACAAATTTAGAAACTATCTGCAGAAAACTACTAATGTACAATGTTACACCCGCACATTCCGCACATTGAATTTTATACACTGGTCGCAGGATATTGCAGATCAAGTTCCGTGAAATCATTTGTAGTACAAATAAATGTTTACTTTGCCAAATAATTAATATAACCACACTGAGGGAATTTCTTCTACAGGATACCTATCCTGCAATTTTTTATTGGTCCTGTATATTCGATCCCTCCAAAAACGGACAAGAAAACAAATTACAATTATAACTAGTTTCTTTCTTACGCTAATTATAGAATTAAAGGCTATGACCTTTCTCTACAAGTCCTAAGCCTCAAGTACTATTTTAACGCGCCTATATTACACATTAATTCTAAACTGATCGCTTTGTCATATGAATTCGTTTAAATGGTTTAAATGGTTACGTGTAAAGAAATTTTATCGTCATTACATTTTTGAACTCGCAATTTTTGTAATTGGCGCAGTGGCGCAGAAATGTTTGTATAAAACAAAAAATAATTAAAAAAGGCAGGTAGCGAAATTGTTTTCAAGAATCAATCTACGTCGCACTTAGATTATAGATTTGATTCTTTTGCTTCTGATTAGATTATAAAACTATGGAGAAGGTGTGTGCGAAAAATTCCTTTTTATTGGCTAATATAGAATTCGCAATTCACACAAACCCTATTATTATTATTATTATTATTATTTATTATTTGTGTTGATTGAAACCAACTCCTCTTTAAGAAACTTTAGGAATGCATCAAAACAATACTAACTAAAATCACTTTCTATTTACTGTATAATCATGCAACCCGATTTTTTTTAATTATTTATTATAAATTATAAATCATCAAACAATGTGGCAGCAATCGAAAAATTTTTATTAAAAAATTTTTTTTTTGAAAAAAATAATTTTTCGGTAAATAATTTTTTTTGATTGATATATAATTCAAAGAAATTATGAATCCTTCACAAATCAAAGACTTTGGTAGCATCAATCATTCAGAAAATAATAATAATGACCATTCAAAAGAACCATCTATTAATAATCAATTTGAAGGACATGAAGAGTATGATTGTTCAGAAATGGGAGAGGGAACACCTTTGTTAAAACAAAGATATGTCTCTCGATCACCAAGTTCAATATCATCATTATCATCGTTAGCATTAGATAATTCTGTAGTAAAAAAAAAGCCGCAGCAGCAACAATTACAACAACAACAACAATCTTTGCATAAACAATATTCATCGAACAATCTAAGGAATATACAAGAATCTGTTTTAGATATGAGTAATAATAACAATTTAGATTCAAATTTTGAGATAAATTTGTACGGAGAAACCGACTCAGATAATGGTACTTCAAATGCATTCTCTTCCCCAATACCACAACATCAACGTCAACTCAAAGCACAAAACGATGTATGTTTTCCTTTAATTGAATCTGCATTTAAACGAGGTATAGGGATTGATTATGAGGCTCTTGAGAAATATGTGAAGGATGAGAATGAGAAACATCAACAAGAGCAAAGGCATCAACGAAGAAGATTGAGTGAATCAGAATCCGTTGTTGTTAAAAAAAATGCAATAAATGAAAGGTTCAATCGTTGTCATAACTTTAAAGATAATAAGGTTTAGTGAAATTTTTTTTTTAACTATATAATTATTAATTCATTGTTTAACAAAACAACCATTAAAAAAATAATATTGTTCTTGTCCTATTGTATTAGTATAATTCAGAAATATTATATCGATTTACATTTTATTCTACAGCACACAGTACTGTACATGCACATACACTTGCAGAAATACCACCATTGGATTTATCATTATCAGAAATGCTGAAAAATGGATGTTGGTGGATTGATATCCTATCACCAACAGATGATGAAATGATGGAATTTGGTAGGGTAAGCGTAATGTTATCAATATTAAGAAAAGCAATTAAATAACTATAAATGACACTTTGAAATTTACTTTTATTTTATTTTCTTTAAAAAGATATTTGGTATACATCCTTTGACCATTGAAGATATAGAAACTGAAGAAACACGTGAAAAATGTGAAAAATTTAATGATTATTATTTTATTTGTTTCCGATCTTTTGATCAAAATCATTATTCTCCAACATATTTACAACCAGTAAACCTTTATATGATTGTGATGAAAGAAGGAATTTTATCGGTATATACCTTTTATCTATAATAAATATTTTTATTATTATGGACATTTAAAGTTTTAAAAAATACCTTTTTTGGGCAATAATAATAAATAGTTTCATTTTCGCCCAACACCGCATCCAGCGAATGTTAGACGTAGAATAGGACAATTAAAAGATTATATAACTGTCACACCTGGTAATTTATTTTTAAATCATTAAAAAAAATAATTTATTCATAACGATCCTAATTATATTAATCTTGATCATTTTGTAGATTGGATAAATTATGCAATAATTGACGATGTAACGGACTCATTTGCACCACTTATTCGATCAATTGAATTTGAGGTAGATTCTATTGATGAACTGGTGTTGATACTTAAAGAATCTGAACAGACTGATATGTTACGTAGAATAGGACATTGTCGTAAAAAGGTGCTGGGATTATTAAGATTGTTAGGAAGTAAAGCAGATGTTATGAAAGCATTAATAAAAAGATGTTATGAATTAAGGTGGGATGTGGTTATAGGTAATGAGATTATATTATACTTGGGAGATATTCAAGGTACCTATCTATTGTGGATTATGTTTTGTTTGTGTTTGTGTTTGTGTTTGTGTTTGTGTTTATATTTATTGCAATATTTATGATTTACATGGTTTTTTTTTAGATCACATTATTACAATGGTTCAGAATTTGAACCATTATGAAAAAATACTTTCTAGGTCACATTCAAACTATTTGGCACAAATTTCAATTGAGATGACACAAGCTAATAATCAGATTAATGATATATTGTCTAGACTTACAGCATTAGGAACTATTTTAATTCCTATGAATCTTGTAACAGGTAACGCCTAATAAAATCATTTTTCATTTTCCACAATATGTTACTGTTGCTGTTGTTGTTTATATAATATTGGTTTTTACAATAAATAGGTTTATGGGGAATGAATGTTCCGGTCCCAGGACAAGAATCCGAAGGTTTGAGATGGTTTATTACTATATTGGCAGGAATAATTCTGTTTTCTATATCAGGAGTTATAATGGCTCACAGGACCGGAATTGTCTGACATTAATCAACTAATTAATAATAAATGTAATGTTATTATTTTTTTCTCTTTGTATTTAAAAAATTTTCTTTGAAAATGTTTCCAAAGATTATTGTTGATCTATTATGTTCTTCCTGATGAACATTTATTTATTCCAATATACCCAAGATCATATATGTGTATTTGCAATTTTATGTTCTATTTTATCTATCAAGACTTTATTTAAGACTTTGTTGTTTATTTAAATTATTTAAGGAATTAAAAAAAAAAGCAATTAAAAACCAGAGAATAAATTATTATCTATTATTACATATTAATTTTTTTGGATATTCCTAAAATATGTTGTACAAAATTATATTAAAGATTAAAAAAAATCATCCAAGTTTTGTAAGTTCTTGTAAATATGCACGTGGATTTAATATCTGTGTTGAACCATAAATAATTTTCTTCTTGTTAGCTTGTCTCTAATAAAATTACAGAAAAATTTGATTAGAAAATTTAAAAATTTTTTATTATATTAATTAGATATTTTGAATAATAATAAACACCTTTGCGTATTCTTGTAAATTTTGATATTCAATATAATTTCCACCACCAACAACAAAAACAATTCCTTCCTGGAAGCTATGTTTACTCTTTGATTGTTTATTAATAGAGGAGTTACGTGCCATTTTTGGATCAAAAAATAAATAATCATCAGTTTTATAAGTACTGCTAGTTGATGGATCCATAATTGATTCAGTAATTTTTGTTAAAGTTAAATCTTTATGTGATGGTAATAAATTTTTTACTCCAGAAATCAAGTTTTCAAATCCTCCCTCTTTTAATTTATCAGTCAACTTGTTAAATAAAATGAAGAAATTAATTAAAAATTTATATCCAAAATAAATAATTACTATTATTATTTTTGTTATTATTATTATTATTAATACCTTTCCTATAGATGAAAATCCTGAGAATAATTGACTAGGTTGCCCGAAACCTGAACTTTGAGAAACGGGTGCTGACAACATTGTCATTTTAGTGATTTCGCGTACCCTATTGTTTGATTTGATCATGTAAATAAATTTATCAATCAAATGTATAAATTGAAGATATTAATATCTTATAAATAAAATTTTGTTTACAAACTTTTTAACATAATTTAAAGCTGCCATATTACAACCAGCAGCGGAAAGAGCTTCCTCATATTCAATCATATCTTCTTTTGTAACTTCATCAACTGACAAATAATAAATTATAAAAAAACGTAATTTATCTTCTGGTGATTTTTTCTCTGGATCTTTGATAGCCTCTAGCACACTTGATTTATTTTGTCGTGTAACTGATTCTTCCAATTGGAAAAAAGTGTCTAATTGACGTTCCTTAATTCCCTGTAATAAAGATGTCGCAATATTCATATGTGTGTCAAGTGTTTGTTTGCGCGCAGTAAGTTCTGGCAGGGCAGTGATGGCCGACTTTAAATGTGATGTATTTTGAGACAAATCTGCATTGTTAATGTCATCAAGTGAACTAACTCCGCTTAATTTTGTGATATCTGCTGCATCAGATTTATATCGATTAAGCTCGACATCAATATCTTCAGCCACTTGAGGAAATGGACTTGAAGCATTCTTTGACCAAAAGAAATCATTGTTATCCAAATAATAGGTTTTTTTAGTGTTATGTCCCATTTCTTCTAGTTGTATAGTAATTCTGTTCAAATTCATATCTAAAACATCGTGTATCAATGCTTGATATGTCCAAGAATGACTTAGCATAGGAACTAGATCAACATTCCTATCTTGAATAATTAACACCGGCCTTTGAAAATTTAATGATGTTGAAGCTTCCGAGAATAAATTATTTCGTGAATTTAACAGATGATCACGTAAACGACTATCAAGCTTATATGCTACCATTTCTGCAGCATTTCCCCTTGGGCATCTAATTATAGGTACGACACCCATTGTTGCCAATACTGAAAATAATGCAGTTACAGTACGATCTATTGCTTCTTCAATAGCTGTTTCTGCTGCTGTTGGATCATTCAAAGTATAATAAATATTTGGTTGATTCAAAGAAAAAAGGTTTGGTTCAGTGACTATAAAGTTCAAATATTGATCATAAACTTGAGCAATCAAATTTGATGTGTTATTTTGATATGTTATTGTTGCAAATTCTTCAAGTAGAGGTCTTGGAATAGTTGTTAAAAAATTTATATAATAAGTTTCATAAAGATTTTTTGCCAAATCCTGATAATAATAATAATGATAATAATAAAATTTTAATATGTTATATGAAGAAAATGAAAATATAAATGACTTTTGATTCAAATTTTATTTAAAGACCTCGCTAATTTTTTGAATGTTATTAGGTGTTGGTTCGACAAAATATATTGCAGGAACATCTGGAATTTGTTGTCTGTCACTTTTTAATAACCTATTCAAAATTATAAGTTATCATATAAATCAAGTTTTTCTTTTCACTTTTATCAAGGTACAACATACATACATACATGTGAACTGTGACTCCATTATCTCGTAAATCGTTAACTTTGAGCACAGAAGAAATTACATCTCGGCCAAATTCATCGAAAATTAACACTTTCCATACTGGTTCGCTGTTATTGCTGGAAAGCAATAGATTATCAGATGAGGCCGTGGTGATCGTTGGATCTGGTTTGATATTGAGATTGAGCATTGAACTTATGGCATCTGTTTTTTTGAAAATTTTCGTATAAATGGTTTTTTAGTTCAATCAATTAGATATCAATGTGTTATAGAATGCGATAGAAGGCATTTAAAGTTTAACCCACTAGTTTGTTGATCACGTAAAGTAATATCTTTTGGAAGAGTGTCCATTTTTTTTTTTTTATTATATAATATTAATAATTAAATTTACATTAGCTTTTTTATTTTTTACTGGTAATTTATCGGGTGATCTAAATTTTGTACATCATTTCTATATATATTTATTTATCGAACTTTACCTATGAAGTGAAAGATTTTCTAAAGTTGCCTAAAAGAACCACGACTAAAGATAATATTTAATAGGATTTCGTGCCCTGGTTAGCGATTCAAGTTTAATTGAACCCTGGACTTTCACAAGCTCATATCACTCTTTTTGAACCCGGACATATAATATTTAAACTTAAACTGCTCCCGCGAGCTCGCTCAAGTTTATGAACATGTTTAAAGTTCAAGTACATTTATGTAACCAGTGTATAATAATTTTCAAGTTGGTTAGTGGTGCCAATTCCGCCAATGTCCTGCCTGCATTCTTGTCTTGTGTTATAAGAAGATTATTTCTCTTTTATTTATTAATTATTATTTATCTGTATGTATTACTTGTTATTGTTTTAGGGAATTGTTATTCGCACCCCCCATTTTTGTTATTCGCACCCCTCCCGTGACTAAGTGTAGTAATGTGACCAATGAATGGCTTTAAAATGTGATGATTTTATTGGTTCATCTTTGTTTTAGTCACGGGAGGGGTGCGAATAACAAAAATGGGAGGTGCGAATAACAATTCTCTTGTTTTATAATTAAACATAATTGATTTTTGAGAAACAATCCATGAGGTTTTTGGTTGACATAGCAGGGGGAACAAATAAACCTTAATTAATCCTTAAAAATTGTTAATAAAACTTTTAGTAACATAATTTGCTTTAGTGAGTGAGCAAAGGTTTAGTACTAATTAATAATAATGAATCTGAACATGTTCATGAACTTTGAATCAAACTTGAACTGAAATTCATTGGTAGAAAAAATATAATTCACAAAGATTTGATTTCACAACTGTTTCTACAGTATTTTTTACAACAGTTTTACAAATACTAGTGAAATATTATGGAAATATGGTTGTTATGCTCAATGCTTTCACCATGTGAAATCTTTGTGAGTTACATTTTTCTACCAGTGACTAAAGTTTATTTTGAACTTGAACTAGATTTCAATGAGCAGAACTTGAACATGATCAGAAGTTTAGTTTAGTTCGATTTTGGCTCAATATGAACCCTAGCTTCTGTCACTTGGAAATTGAAATTGATTAAAGTAGCACTCATTTTGCTACAAGGTAAACAGTATAGAATTAATGTTTATTATTATTTTTTCATTTTAAAAATATTGATGTATGAAGAAAGAAACTAGAGTAATGGGTAATTATATATATATATATCCAACTTTTGTATCAATTTTATTAAACACAAATACCTCAATGACATGGTAACTCGATTCTTGTTTAAAGTGGGACCAAAACCAGAACAATCGTCTAAATTTCTAGATCGTCGATTCAATGTGGAAGTAACTTTATTAGTAAACTTGCATGATAATTTCTTTTAAAGTCGCTACTAATTGAGAAAACATTATGAAATTTTCTAATAATGGCAAAGGATTATTGACACATATTATCTCAAGACGATTTGGGCAATAAACAGAATAAAATGAGCAAAGGGAAGGAAGGGAATTTAGCTAAAATTGATTTATAACATTATTTTCCCGCAGTTATGACTACACCATCTTGAAGGACTTCTTCAGTTGACTGTTGTTCCAAAGTTAATTGAAAGCCTGATCTTTCACGAAGGAAGGAAATATCCGAGAATTTATGAGCACTAGAACAAAAAATCTTGGATTTTACCAAGTTGTGAAGAAACGGATGATCATTTTAATGGTGGGTGCGTTCAACACCTATTTTATTGGATTAGTAAAACTAGGTCATGTTATTGCCATACTTAGTATAATATAGTAAAGTTTTGAGCTTGAACTCCTAAGAAGGACGAGAAATAAATTGTGATAAGCATAGTGAGTGACCCCTGAAAGTTAAATTTTCTGCAGCACGTACCCATTTATTTAATTATATGTGTGTCACAAAAGAATGACACGTACTTTTTTTTTCTTTTTTTTTTTTCAAGAACTTTATATTCATAATTTTCACAAAAATGACTACTGAACGAAGACCTGCTTCTACTCATAACTTTGTTTCTGAAGCTACCCTTCCTTCTCAAGTATATAAAGCAACTTACTCAGGTGTTCCTGTCTGGGAGTTTCGGTAAGTAATAAATCATTGTTTGAATTTCCAATAGTATGCTTTTAGTCTTTTTGATTTTGCTTTTGACATCTAATGATGAAAAATAACTTGTAGAGTGAAAGGTGTGGCTGTAATGCGTCGAAAAAATGATGATTGGCTTAATGCAACTCAGATTTTAAAAGTTGCCAATTTTGATAAGCCACATAGGACAAGAATATTGGAACGTGATGTACAGAGAGGTGAACATGAGAAAGTACAAGGAGGATATGGAAAATATCAAGGTAATATTTTTACCTGCGACATTATACATTATGTACCCCTTCTTTCTAAACTAAATATTTTACCAATTAATGTATTAATTAATTGATTAATCGATTAATTAAATGTAATAATTTCAGGAACGTGGGTTACTTATGACAAAGGAGTAGATTTAGCCCAACGTTATAAAGTTAGAGAATTGTTACGACCACTAATAGATTTCAGTCCTTCGTCGGAAAGTCCACCGCTCGCACCAAAACATGTTACTGCTGCGTCCGCTAGACCCAAGAAAGCACGCGAACCCAAACAACAAAAAGCTAAATCCATTAAAACTCGTTCTTCAAAGAAAGGAAAAGGAAAGACAAACGAGCTTGTTGAAGAATTAATATTGTTTGATACAGACTTGCAAAGTAACAACAATGAAACTGTTAGCATTGCATCATCAAATAACATTACAGCATCACCCACCATATCACCAATCATGTATGACACAACAGAGTTTGATGAACATTATAATAGTCCAACAAATCCGAGGAAAAGAACCAGCTCGCTTGATAACAACACTCGTCAAGCCAAAATGTCCAAGCTGTCAATGGCAGAATCTGTTTTAGCAACATCCTCTTCACCCTCCTTTTCTACTCCAATGTCTGCTGCTAATCAATTTATTGAGGTGTTATTGGCATATTTCACTTCAAATTCAAATTTAATTCCAAGTTTTGTTATAAGCCCACCACCTGACTTTGATGCTAATTTAGTAATCGATGCGCAAGGCCACACTTCGCTTCATTGGGCTGCTGCTATGGCTAATATTGACATGGTAGCTTTGCTAATTAAAGCAGGTGCTGATACTGAATGTGTTAATATTATTGGTGAGACTGCACTCATGAGAAGTGTCATGTTTCCGTATAATTATCAAAACGGAAGCTTCAATGATATTGCACAACTTTTGGCAAGTAGCATTGGTAATATTGATTCTTGCGATCAGACGGTATTTCATCATATAGCACTTTTTGCAAATAATGATGATATGCAAGAAGGACCTGCAAAGTATTATTTAAAAACTTTAATTTCACATCTGAACCAAAGCCCTAATGAACGGTACCGAAAAAGTATTTTAAATAGACAGAATACCGATGGAGACACAGCTATCAACATTTTAGCAAAAGCAAAAAACAGAGAGTTTGTTAAATTACTTTTCTGTGCGGGCGGGGATCTTTATATTTGTAATAAAGAGAACAAAAATGCTGAACATTATTTCTGTGAAATTGATACTAATTACTCACCAACGATAACATATCAACATAATTCCTATTCTCGTCAACAAACACCAATCAATCTACAAAGTTCATCGTCATCAAATATCTCCAATGGCACTTCTTTTGGACATGTAATCGAATCACCATTAATTACTGCAAACAATAAGGTTTATGCTGTTGCACCCACAATAGATTCTTTTGTTTCTATTGGTAAAAAAATTTTAGAAGATTATTGTTCTCCTTATATCAGTGAGCTCGAGAGTAAAGATAATGAGCTTTTTTTATGCAATAATAAATTAAAATCAATTGAAGACGAAATCAAGTCTGCCAATCTTAAAGTTAAAGAAATGAAAGAAATCAATAAAAAATTACCAGAAAAAAAAGAACGTGTGCAAGGATTGATTAAGCTTATAAAAGAAAAGATCGAAAAACGTAATCAACAAAGACTGGATAGCTTGTTAACCGAAGAATTAAACAAGACTTCATCGTCACCAAAAAATAATGTTGAAATAAATGAAAGGTATAGTTTATTTAACCATTAAAAAATATATATTTTTTATATGAATGGATTATTGATTTGGGAAAAATCTAGACAAAAGGAAGAAGTTAAGAAGCAATTAGATGTAATAATTGAAGAAAGAAAGGAATTGACGGAAACATTAATAAGTATGAGATCAATTCCAGGAGAACCCACATTACCATATCGACACGCCTTCAATAAAATCTTGAAGGATCAAATTTTTGTAAGTTGCGTTATGATTTATATTTTTGTTTTTCTTTTTGAAAAAAAATTTAATGTCAAAATTCTAATAATTTTATTGTTACCATTATTGCCATTACCATTGTCATCATCATCATTATTATTAAAGACTGAGTAAACGTCTTTTGTTTACTCTTTTAAAATCTTATGATACAGCTAGCTGTTTTAAAAAAATTTAATAAAATCATTTAATATATCTATCTAACCATTCATTATAAATTATTGGATTTATTTATTTTTTCAATTGTTTTTTGTTCCTAATATTTTTTATAATATAATATTTTTTATTATATATTTATTTGTATAATAAATATTTGATAAATTATTAAATAAATATGATATAATGAATGTCTTTATATATAATTTGAATGAAATTAAATAAATAAAATATTACACTAAAATAGTGTATCTGTAGTAGTATCATGATTTTTTGATATAAACATACAAGCTGTTTATCTAGCTTTTTCTAGTAATAATAAAAAATTAACAGGTATGAAAATTTTTAAAAATTTTTTAGTGGATGATTTTTTTAATTCTTACCTCATTCTCATTTAGTTTTCAATTTCTCACTCCTCTTTTATCTTCTTCATCTTCCAGCACCACACCAAACACACATCCATCACAGCTAAAGGCTTTCTAAATGTAAAACAATATATATGTGTGTGTGTATATATATGACGCCTACACCAAATCTTTTAAAACCAAAGTCAAAGATAAGGAGGGTTTTTTATTTCAACTTGGCAGCAATAAAGCCATTCTCGGGAATAAAGTCAACAACACCATTTAACAAATCATCACTTTTTTCTATAATTTTGATTCTTTTGGAGACTGCCTCAATAAGTGTTTTTGAATCAACTCGAGTTAATGTTTTTTGATAACTTTCTGTGTTAACAAAGGTTGGCCAGTCACTTTAAAAAACAGCAGCAACAAAAAAAAAAAACAAATTAACAATTATAATATTACCTTTAATAATATTGAGTGATATTAATTATTATTATTTTTTTACCTTTTAATTGTCGATGATGTTTGACCATGACTTAATAATAAAAAGAATAAAAATTAGAATTGTCAAAAAAAAAAATTTTTTTTTTTAAGTCGTATATATTTATTACCTTGAACGACGACCAATTACTCGTTGTTTTTTATTATTATTGTTATCATCATCATTATCATTGCTGCTACCGTTATTATTACTGCTACTTTAAACAAACGTATATATATATATATATACACATATATATAATTGTTAATTTAGACGTCAAGTTTGCATTTTAAAATCCCCTTTTTTTTATTGTTACTGTTTGAGCTGGACGATACCTTGATTTTGCCTTCATTTTTATTGCATTGGAATTATTGGTGTTAGTTTCGTCAGGTTTATGTTTATCTTTTTCAGTCATTTTATTTTTTATTTTTAAAAGAATAATGAATGAGTGACTGTCTGTGTTCAATGGGTGTGGGATTATTAAGAATTTGTCAATCATGGCAATATTAGCAAGTATTTTGCTTTAAAAAGGAAAAGAAAGAAAATACTGTGCTATTATTGTCCTTGATTCGCAACCGGTTGTTACAGACAGACACATCCTCTTCTTATGCCAATAACTCTTCTATAATCATTATTAATTATTTTAGCCAAAAAACTCTTAATAATGATGCACCTGATGTCGACAACGAAGGACAATTTATTATTATTTAAATTATACTTGTTGGAAAGCCTAACCTTGTCCAACTTGCCCAAAGAATAATCAACTAATGCTAATAATAAATTAACATGCTTACAATTGATTTGTTATTATCAATATTAATGGTAAATATATAAATAACTATCATAATCAATAAAAAAATATGATTAAAACCTTGTTGTTAAATGATTCAACAATTAATGGCGACGGTGCGGAAAGTGATAACTTTAAAAATTACACACAAGTAGCATCCTCTATTACAACCATAACCTCAAAATCCCAGGTAAACTCCTTAGGGAAATTAATCAACACAATAGTCAAAGGAAACATAAATTTTTATACTAATGTTCAAGGCTCCAGCGAACGAACTAACTTCTAACTAAACTAATGGATGATGGGTATTTGATGCTTGGGTAGATGGGTTAATAGAACTATAGAACTAATGATAACGACAGTTTAACGTTTTACCAGAATGTATATTTCGACTATTTGTCACCAGATAATATTAGGTTTTATTTCCCGAGTGAGGAATGCAATCAATTTTTGGAACAGATGATTTTGCATAAATTCTTTCCGTTGACCGAAAGAAAATTTAATATACACGGCTAGTAAAGTAAAGAACTACCTATGAAATTTACCAAAAAGAAAGAAAAATAAAAGGGTATTAACAACACAAAACTATAACGAGCCCAGAAAAATAAAATAAAAAATTAGAAAAGAAATAAATCCTACTGCAGTTGAGGCAATGTGATTCTAAAAGGAAAAACATAAGGCAAAGCGTCATATAGAATTATTATTTGTTAAGTATCATAATGACAGCTACTGACTTTATTTATTAATATTAGAACCTGCTATTTATTTTACTATCAGTCGCAGGCAGTGTGTAAATTTCAGTGTGTAACTAATGCAGATTTCTACAAATTTAGAAACTATCTGCAGAAAACTACTAATGTACAATGTTACACCCGCACATTCCGCACATTGAATTTTTTTATACACTGATTCCAACGCAAATTGGCAAATATGAACAAAAAATTGTTTTTAATATATAGAGAAAATATTCAAAGCCTTGTGTCTCATTTTTTTACTATGCAAACAAGGTTCAATTCTTTCACCAATTTATAAATTCTTGTGTTAGAGATTATTGTTGATAAAAAGTCACAAAAAAAACCAGCTGGTAGCTTGATTTTCCTAGTACAGACCCCATCCATATATAGATTATTATAAAATAATTTATTATTATTTATACTCTACCAAAACGGGGTTTTTTAAAAGAATTTTAATTTTAAATATTTTTTTTTGATCTAAATTTTAATAACAAGGAAAATATCCCAGATCTATTAAATTTCTATCGTTGATCAACGGACCACCACTTAAATCAATTTATTATCAAAATCGCACAATTTATCATTATTGAAACTTTTTCAAAAAGCATTAGTATGTTATTTGATGATTTAATAAAGTTCCTTTTAAATAACCAAATAATTCTGGATCAACTGTTATTATAGTAATAATAATAGTGTTAATAACACCAAAGCAAATATATGATAATTATGATGATGATAAATTATAATTTACCAAGTTATCAATTTAGTTGTATCTCACTGTTACTTCTGTTTTTGGTAATTTTTAACATTTCATTTTCGCATAATCAAGAAATCAAATAGGCTTGATTTTGGGTATTTAGTGAGTTATAAAAAGTTATAGGCAAAGAATTGAAATTACGTGAAAAATCTTTTTTTTTATTAAAGATGATTAATATCAAAAAACTAGATACATATATAGAATGGTTATATGCACATTAAGTACTGTATGGTTACAAAATTATTTAAATTAATATTTAAGAAAATCATTTGGATTTTATAACCATACTGTACTAACAAAAAAAAAGGTGTATGTGATGATGAGTGGATTCTATGCAATTGCTCCGGCAATTTTTCTATTTGTATTTTTAATATGTATATATCTTAGTTGACTAAAATAAATAAATATGACTTGGCTTTTAATTCCTTTTTAATCCTTCCTTTCTTGAACATGAATACCTTTATATACACACATATATCCATTACAATGTTTATAAATTTGATATTATCACTGATATAATAAACAATTGCATCATCCAGGTAGTAATACCAAGACCACCCAGAAATGAAACTTTTAATAATGTATGTCTACCCAGATCTCTGAATAAATAAATGAATAAATAGGAAGGATCAAAAAAAAAGATTTTCCTTCCCAATGTATAGTTCCTTAAAATGAATAATGAATCTGATGTTGATCACAAGCATGAGATTTAATTTTCCTGTCACAAACATGTTTCACATGCCTCATAACTAAGGATTTCTTTTTTCCACAGGGAAGCCATAAGCATGTTGGAAGGCTATTTATAAGGTAGGCAAAAACCTTTATCTTATCTTCTCATTAGACCAGATTTGACTGTTGCCAAATGGGCATTGATCACTGATGAGGATCAGCATTTGTATGATGATTGCTTTGTGTTATACCCTCTCACTAGAATAAAGTCAATGTCTACAACTGGTTCAAAATTCTCCAAGGGTTGTTGTTTTGGAATTCAGAGTTTTGAGTCCTGGTTACTGTTTTGTTGGTGATACACCTACTCACCAACAACCCTAATCCCATTTAAATAACAAATTCAGTTAGTCAAATAAAAATTAAAGAAACAAAGAATTTATGAAAATGGTTAATTTACGTGGGGTGGCTGAAAAGTAATGAGAAAATAGCTTTATTTCAAAAACTTTATTACAACTTTTAAAAAATTTTA